GCAGGTCTTCCTTTTCCCTATGCCCTGACCAGGGCATTTCTTGTCTGGCTGTTCCTGAGTTATATGAGTTGCAACAAATTGGTGATCTAATAAGTAAAAAGGTTTCCTGAGTTCCATGCAAATTAATCTAAATTGAGAAGGGGACCCTGGGAACATTTGTTTTATAACCAGCTAGTTCCATGGTAACAACCTAGGTTTGAGACTGGCTCCAGAAATCTGAGAAGGGTACCGTGGAGATTTCCAACCTAGAGCCCATTGGTGGGAAGTGCAGGAGGCACCCAGTGTGAAATACATGGTGTTCTTGGGAAACTGAGCCTTTAACCTGTGGAATCTAACACTATCGCCAGGTAGATAGTGATCTCGCAGGTGTCCAAGAATAACTAGGTGTGGGGAAACACCCCCAACCCTGTTGGAAATTGATCTCTGGGACCCTATTGTTGGGTTTAATTTTCTAACTGTTTATTCAAGATTTTACCTCTACCAGGGTTCCTATTTTCTTTAATATCTGTACCATACTTTAGTAGTGTGGCTTTTTCCCTTCTCTTTTTCCAGTTCAGTATTTGTGTTGTATTGTCATTTATTGAGGTAACATTGGTTAGTATCATGGCTTATGAAAGAGTTGGTATAAAATTGGTATTTTCCTTTGGATATTTGGTCAGATTCACCAGTGAAACTATTTTGGCCTGAAAGACAGATTTTGGAGTTTTGCTCATCTGCAGAATATAAATATTCAAAAACAATTGCATATGAATAATAGAAGAAATGAAGTTGAACTCAGCTTAAAAAAAAACAGATTACAGGGGAATAGCAGAAAGGGTGGTGAGGATGCGGTAAGGAGGCAGATGAAAAATGGGCACAGGTGGCTTGGCAGAGTGAGAAGGAAGGGGGAAAGGGAGAAGAAAGGACTGATTTTGGCCTGAAGTTTTCCTTGTAAGGAGGATTTTAAAACAAAGTCAGTGCATCAATGAATGTTATTTCAATAGAATTCCCACTTTATCTTATATTTATTTTTTCCTAAATAACTTAATTGGTTAAATTTAAATTGCTGAATTCATTGGCATTAAGTTGTTTGGGGTAGTTTTATCTTTTGTATTACAGGATTTTTGCAAGGGAGCAAAAGACAATGAATGGTTTTTTTTTTTTTTTAAGGTCAAATAGGAGCTATGTTATTTTTTTCTCCTTTTTTAGAAGTGGAATCTGACAGTGTGTGTGTGTGTGTGTGTGTGTGTACATGATCTAAGCGACAACAGTAGAGGTAGGTAAAAGCCAAGTCATATGGAAGCTTATAAGCCATCTCAGGGACTTTGAATGTTATGGTAGTACAATGGGAATTCATTGAGGGGATTTCTACTAAGTCTGTTTGCTGTAAATAGCATTAGCAACATTTTTCAAGTTGTTTCCTGGCAATGTTTATTATTTGCTCCTTCTAAACAAGATTTGGGATGTTTATCCATCTACACCAATCAGTTAAACAAGAGCCAAGGTGATGCCAGTTCAAAATATGCTTACCTTTAAGTGCTTTCAAGTTACCTGAGGTATTATTACAAATTTTATTTGAATTTTCTAGAGACTAAAAAGCTTCAATACCTCCAATCCCTCTGATAAGCTCACATCAGATAAGAGGCCTTGCCAGTAAGCTCCAGTCCTCTGTCTATACTACTCAGGGTTGAGCCTCACTGTTGGGGCAAACTGCTAATTTTTTTTTTCTTGCAGTGATTTTTTTCAGAAACTTTCCTGATTTCTGATCAATTAACCCTTCGATATCAGGAGAGGAAATGGACATGTGGAAAGTGACCACTTATTTAATTTCGATAGCCAGCCAAAGCTAACTAGTCCAAAATGTCACTCCATCTTTTGTAGGAAGTAGAGTTTAAAATTATCATTGCCCCATTAGAAGAAATGCATAGATTTCTACAGGGAAAAACTGAGCCTTCAGGACAAAGTCTGTTTCTGTTACTAAACACTGCGATCACTATCTAGTAGCAAATTAGAAAGAAACTGTAAGATTTTAAGAACTGATAAAAAGTATCTTGCATCTTCACATGCTATGCTGCTAGGCCACTTTTTATTTTTGGGGGTCCCTTGTACACCAACTATCAAATTTCAGAGAAACTGAAGTTACAAAAGAACAGTTTGTTAATGCAGGAGAGATAAACTATTGCATTAGGAGTGTGAAAGACATTTTAAAAAGTTCTCATATTATCAATTAGGTGTTTCTAATTCATGAGTAATGTCTTAGATTCTTGTCAAGAATATTTTGAATGGCACTTGTTAAAAGTGTGTGCTGCATCACTTTCTTATATGAGTGCTCATGTGTCCTTGCCAGATTGTGAAACATATAATTCCAGATTGTTGAATTCTGGCAAAAAAAAAAAAAAAAAAAAAAAAGGTCATTGCAAAATACCTGGGGAAGGGTACTAATATAAAGTAGGGAGATAGTGGCAAAGTAAAGACAGCCATTCTGTATTGG